CTTTGCTCAGACACTCCTGGGTTAGACTGAAATATTGCAGCAGCACCAGCACCTTTGCCATCTGCTCGAGGGTTATGCTGTAATCAGCTGGAGTAGATTCATTTAGTGCCATGAATTCATTCGGTTTAAGCCAGGTCTCAGTTAGGCATGAGGACCAAGACTAAAATCAGTAATCATTTCATTTATTAGTAGCTCCTTAGGAACCAGTGATCTTACATTCAAAAGTCCCGGTTTTAGCCTTGCATTACACCTATTACAGTATCCAATAACAGATTTGGTTTAATTATTATTAAGTTATTTCGACATACACTACGGTGGAATAGACATCCATGATTAACAGTGCGGGGAACAGACACATTCCCAGTAACATGAACCCTAGGTGACGACTCTAAGCGACTAGCAGACGTCGGTTATGTCGGTTTGCCTGCCGCCTGGACTTGGCTCTGGCTAGTCAGCGATTTGCCTGGAGACTATGAGCTATGCTTTTGGACAGGAGATCAGCACCAGCCGGCAAGGGGTGAATACCGTCCCTCTTCAAAAGCCCAGGCCTACCCCCAAACGTTCCCCAATCGTCTATATAACCCACAGCATTTATTGGACACCATTCCGACAGCCAGCGATGCAGCGACGATAATCTGCTGTATATTTCATCACCACGTCTAGCAGGGATGGGGCCAGAGCACGTTACTGACACAGACATCTTCTTCACAAGGTTGCACACCTCTATGAAATGTGTCTATGCAACTATTGACTGTGAATTGCAGAAGCATGCATGGTCAACAATTACAGCTCTACTAATTTTATATATTTTTTTTTTTTTGAGATGTGAACAGAATGCACAACTGTGTTGGGGTGTAACGTTGGTTCGCTGACGATGAAACCTGCCAAGCGGGGGGATGGGGGAAAAGGGGGTGCCCCATGATTAATTTTGAAGAGTAGGAAATGTGTGTGAAAATATGGGATAAACTGCATATTATCGTGTATCAGTGCTGGACACAGCATTGTATTTTTCAGTGTAGGATGATGTTGCCCAGAGGAACAGTTCATGTTGTGATTGGCTGGTTGGAAGCTTGGCTGTGATTGGTCAATTGGTTGTCAGGCAACTGTGACACTCCAATAGTGAAACAGCTGATGTGGAATTCACATTGTCAGTCACATTGTTTGTAGTAGTAATAATAATAATAATGATAATAATACAGAGGGGCGACATGGGGGTGCAGTGATCAGCACTGTCGCCTCACATCTGTAGGACCAACTAAATAATAATAATAATAATACAGAGGGGCGGCGTGGGGGTGCAGTGGNCCTCAGGTCACGAACCAACACCCAGCTCCCTGGGTCAAGCGGTGTCACAGCTCGTAGTGGTTCTCCCTCTGGAGTCCTCCAATAGGCACGAACCTGGTTCCAGGCTGCACCTATCGCTTGCAACTAGGGCAGGGCAATATGGCCAAAAATATTTATCACGATATATATTTGAAAATTTTCGATAACGATATAACTGACGATATGATTGACACGAGACAAAATACTTTACAATTCCAAAACTTTATTAGTGCAAAAAAAACCCATCAATTTATTTTCAATTAAACAAGCAGCTGTTTGTATGTGCATTAAAGCTATATAAAATTTTAACAGTGCAAATGCAAATTCCTTGCTGACAATTTAACCAAAAGGCATTTCCAGTGGAAATGGACTGACATATCCTGAGCATAACCATGTATAATATCCACAAAACTTAAAAAGAGTTGCTTTGCAACATAAAACTGCAGTGTGCCAAATAAATAAGTCAAATAATAAAATTGCACAAACTCTTGAGTAAAAACAAAACAAGCAAACAAAAAACATGGATAAATTATGCTACTGCTCATGGAGGTTTTCTACATTTTAAGTTTTAAGATTCTTTGTCAGAAACACTAACATGTTCACAGATGTGGGCTTAAGGGAGGACCTTTGACAAGTTACAATGTTTCCACCTGTGCTGAACAACCTTTCAGATGCAGAGCTAGTTGCTGGAATGCAGAGGTATTTCCTAGCTAATCTGCTGATGTGGGGAAAGTTTACTGTGTGAACTTTCCACCACAAAAGAGGATCACACTCACTGTCTGCTGGTGGACTATTCACATAACTGCTCAGTTCAGATAATAACCTTTCTGCAGTTACATCTGTCTTGCCACTAACTGGTCCCTTCAAAAAGCTCCCGAGACTCTTCTTTGGCTTTTTAACAGCTCCCTGACTTGTTTGGTCTCCTGCAGATGTAGGAGGGGTTTCTGAAAAACCTGTGGCTGCGCTACCCTGGTGTGACACAAAATGATCTAGTTCACTCATGACTTGAACTTTGATGGCTTCGCTCTCACTCTCACTGAAATATTCTGTATGAAAACGTGGCTCAAGGAAAGAAGCCATGTTAACAAGCCTCTCTGTGACACTGTCTTTGTAGCTTTTGTTCATGTAGTCAAGAATTGCTGTTTTTATGTCTTTGGTCAGCTGAGTGTCACTCTCTTTCACTTTTAACATGTCATTGTTAAACATCT